CGACCCTGAGGGTTGCGATCCCGTTGCCGGTCCCCGGTCCGGTACGGGGGCAACACTGAGGGTTGCGATCCGTTGCCAGACACGGAAAAAGACAAAAAGACAAAAAAAAAAAAAAAAAAGAATTTTCATACAGTCCCTCCCTCCTGTACACATCTCGCTTGTTATTTACATCTTGCATTGTGTGGTACAGTTGTTACAATACATGAGCCAGTGCTGATGCATTCTTATTAAGTAAAGTCCGTAGTTACATTAGTGACTATTTGTGCATTCCCAGGGTTTTGACAAAAGCGTACGGTCCTCTGTCCACCACTGTAGGATCATGCACAATACTGTCACTGCCCTAAAAGTCCTCTGTTCTGCACCTGTTTGTCCCTCCGTCCCCACCAGCCTGTGGCAGCCACTTATCTTGTTACTGTCTTCATAGTTTCACCTTTTCTAGAATGCCATTTAGTTGGGATCAAGATGGTGTGTCAATTTTTCAGGTTGGCTTCTTTCACTTGGAAATATGCATTTAAGATTTCTCTGTCTTTTTGTGGCTTGACTGCTCATTTCTCGGTAGCACTGAATAATATATCATTGTTGGGAAGTACCAGCGTTTATTTATCAGTTCACCTTTTGAAGGGCATCTTGGTTGCTTCCAAAGTTTTGGCAATTACGAATAAACCTGGTAGAGATATTTGTGTGCAGTTTTTTGTGTGGACATAAGTTATCATGGGAGCCACATTTTTTACATCACGTTTCTTCATGGCATTTTCTTTGTGCTAAGATATTTCTAAATATACGAAGGGTAAATTTTATCTGAGATGAAGGTGTATGGTTGCATGCTCTTTTGCTAATTTCTAATTACAACACAGGGAAAGCCTCGACCCTCTGCTACCTGTATTACTTTGCACAGAAGTTGTTATATGAACAAAAGGGGGCATTTTTCTTTCAAAGCATAAATGTGGGTTCTGTCACCTTATGCTTCTTTCTCTTTCAACTCATTAAGCTAATTACCATTTTGAAAATAATAAGGCTTAAATTAGTGTCACAGCCAAATAACCCCAAGCCCAAGTGCACAGGTGGTTCACTTCGCTGTGGGAGTTAACACCTCAATAAATGTCTAGCTGATCGTGATTTATCATGGAAGACAAATCGCTAACGTGGCCCTTGGCCCTCGGGTGTCTTATTCCTTAATTCTGAATCTGACATTTACATATATGGTGTGGGTTCTAGGAATGTTTGTCATCCGAGTTAAAAATTGAGAAAGATTGAATGTACTCTCGCCTGCGGCATTTGCAATCAAATAGCAGGAATGTGTCTTGCAACAAATGACTTGTGTGTTGTTTTTGCATCAGAAATCACCTCTGCCACTTCTGTGGGGCATTAACTCTGCACTGCTTTTCCCTGTTTTCTGGACCAAGCAGGTGAGACTCCAGCCGGGTGGAGGGTCTGTCTCCCCTGGGTGTGACATCCTGCTGAATAGAATGTATTCAGCACCCACTATTTAATCATTGCTGCTACAAAAGATATCCAGGGTCCTTGTGGAATATTAGTTGTAGTGGCCATCCTTGAGTGACTAGCAGGACCCCACCCAAAATTTGGTGCCCATGTCAAGACTGATGATGCTACACACACCAAGAAGACCTGAAAAGGTTTATTACTCACATAAGGATGCTTTCTGGGGAGATCCAGGAAGCTCTTAAGCTAATATGAAGATAGTTTGAGAGTGCAGGGAAAAGAGACTGGTCCTGCTTTTCTGGTGGTGGGAGTTGGGGCTTGGATGACGATTTTCCGCATGCAGGTAGGTGCTTGTATAGTTCCAACTTCATGCTAGTATCAAGGAAGGAAGCACCCAGGATTTCTTACCAGCTTGTGGGGCACGTGCAGAAAAGGAAGAGGTGAGGCTTAAAAACTACTAGCAGTCAAACATCAAAAAATGGACTCAGACTCTAACATAGAAAAGACTAGTTTTATGCACTCACTGAATTAAACAAGCAGTACTTGACTATGGGCGTCTCTGTGGAAACTCAACGTCGTGTACCTTTAATTTGACCACCATTATCTTATCATTTGAGAGCTGATGACAGCTTCCTAATCAGAGAGTCCATGTTTCCGTCCCTTCTTCAATGTTCAGCTGTCTTCTTATGGAAAATTTCGAGCATACATGAAAATAGACAAAATAGCACAGCAAACCTCCATGCACCCTTCACCCACAGCTAACAATTATTAACTCACGGCTAATTGTGTTTAGTCTTTACCCAATACTTACTTCCTCTCCTTTTGCACTACTCTGAAGAAGACAGCAGCCATCGTATTTCATTCATAGGCATTTCAGTGTGTAATTATCTTTTAATTCTATTTCCCTATGAACTTTTGAAGCACCCTAGTGTCTCTAAAATGCCCCTCTCCCCCACACCCGCCATGTCTTTTTTCCTCCTCTGTGATTCTTACTGAGTCCGTCCACTTACCTGTGCAGAGTTTGAGTCTGGGTTTTGGAATCAGACTTAAGTCCTACTTTCTGGTTCTCCCACTTTCCAACTGTCTGAACTTGCAGGGGTCGCTTATCTCTTTTCAGCATTCTTACCCTTATCTGTAAAATGGAGCTGATGCTATTTACAATACAGTTTAGTGTGGTCTAAACAAGAAAACATGTAACAAAGTTTGTTGCATCTAGAGGGTACTTAACAGGTGGTAGCAGTTATTACTGTTGTTGTCGCTGTTTGCATTATTTGGAAGTGTTATTATTTGGGGATGGCATACAGTGTTAAGTTTGGGGACTTTGAGGACAAGAAAAAGGAAAGCATGAAGACTATTAGTAGTCGGGACGGATAATTTTAGACTTGGGTCCACTGTAGGTATTAAAGGAAGACGTTTCCCACTCCGTAAGGGAGAGCAAGAGTAGGCTTTTTCGTCATCTCAGGGCCACAGCACCGGCGACAGCAACAATCTGTCCTTTCTCTCCTCGCGTCTTCCCACCAAGCATCTCATGATCAATGAGCCTGATACTTCCACAGTACTTTATCAGGTCTCCCCGCAGAATTGCTCCTGATAGCCAGAGATTCAGACGATGCTTCTAAAATACTTAAGTCAATGACTGAGTCTTTTTGGGGTCTGTCGGCCTTGATTATATCACATCCCATGCTGGGATCCTCATGGAACAAACTCCAATGTGTGAGAACATTTCTTTTGCACTCTTTGAAGTGAACAGACTGGTTGAGGAGGTCAACCATCTCCCTTTCTTTTGCGAAGGTTGAACTGTTTTAAAATTGAGTCTCGTCTCCCCTCCAGGGCAGATCTTGAATGTCCTAGATGAGCTGAAACTGGCTAATACTACTCTGGTCTACTTCACATCGGACCAAGGAGCCCATGTAGAGGAAGTGACCAGCAAAGGACAAATGCACGGAGGAAGCAACGGCATCTATAAAGGTGAGAAGTGCTGATGCTGACAAGCTCTGGCCTCCCAGCTCATCCAGTGGCTGCCTTTTCTTTGATCTTACAGCTTCTCCATTGTCCCCGTGTCGCTTTGCAATATATGGCACTACCTTGTGTCACAGGCATTGGACAGTCAGGTGACCAAAGTGGCCATATATATTGTGGTCCCCAGAAAACTTACATGCCCACGTTCTGTGTCGAGACATGGGAATGAGGGCGTGTCTCCCTAACTGTCATTTCAGCCCCATGTTGGGTAACTGATTAAAACAAGAACCCCTCGGCCCCGTGTGTATGAGGTTCCTATCACTGCTGTAACAAATTAACACATAGTGGCTTAAAACACCACAGATTTATTAAGTTGTCGTTCTAGAACTCAGAATTCTGAAGTAAGTATCTCAGTAGTCTAAACAAGTGTCACAGGGCTGCGTTCTTTTGCAAGCTCTAGGGGAGAACCCACTCTTTGTCCTTTCCAGCTTCTAGAGGCCACCCTCAGTCCTTGGCTCATGGCTCCCTCTTCCATATTTAAAGCCAAAAATTCAATGTCCTCTCACCTCCTTCTTTTCCTCTGACTNCAGAAAACTTACATGCCCACGTTCTGTGTCGAGACATGGGAATGAGGGCGTGTCTCCCTAACTGTCATTTCAGCCCCATGTTGGGTAACTGATTAAAACAAGAACCCCTCGGCCCCGTGTGTATGAGGTTCCTATCACTGCTGTAACAAATGAACACATAGTGGCTTAAAACACCACAGATTTATTAACTTGTCGTTCTAGAACTCAGAATTCTGAAGTAAGTATCTCAGTAGTCTAAACAAGTGTCACAGGGCTGTGTTCTTTTGCAAGCTCTAGGGGAGAATCCACTCTTTGTCCTTTCCAGCTTCTAGAGGCCACCCTCAGTCCTTGGCTCATGGCTTCCTCTTCCATATTTAAAGCCAAAAATTCAATGTCCTCTCACCTCCTTCTTTTCCTCTGACTTTTGCTTCCACAATACCATCTTCTGTGCTTACTCTGACCTTCCTGCCTCCCTATAAGGACCCTTGTGATTATACTGGGCCCACCTCAAGATCATTAACTTAATCCCATTTGCAAAGTCCCTTTTGCCATGTAATGGAACATAGTTGCAGGTTCCAGAAATTAGGACAAGGACATCTTTGGGGGCCCATTATCCTGCCTCCCTGAACCCACAGTGGCATTCTGAGCTGAAGTTTCATTCTTTCTGCAGCCATCAACTGATCCACTCCCATGATGAGTCAGGCAAATATTGGGGATATTTGATCAGACCCAGCTACTAACCTCGAGTTGCTTGTATAGTGTATACTCTGCAATAAAAGACAAATGTATCTGATTACAATAAATGTGGCTCATTTCACAGACTTAGATAAGGTTCCTAAAGGGGCCTATCCATGCCCTAACCAAAGGTAGACGTCTACCTGCCCTGGTAGACGTGCTGGGAAGGAGCAGCAAAGAGCTTGTTCTGCAGACCACAGGGAGTTCAGTGAGGATGGTCACACCCCACCTGAGGCAGAGAGACAGAGAAGAGGCGTCTAGTGTCTATCTCATCGATGGNCTCAAGATCATTAACTTAATCCCATTTGCAAAGTCCCTTTTGCCATGTAATGGAACATAGTCGCAGGTTCCAGAAATTAGGATGAGGACATCTCTGGGGACCCATTATCCTGCCTCCCTGAACCCACAGTGGCATTCTGAGCTGAAGTTTCATTCTTTCTGCAGCATCAGCTGATCCACTCCCATGATGAGTCAGGCAAATATTGGGGATATTTGATCAGACCCAGCTACTGACCTCGAGTTGCTTGTATAGTGTATACTCTGCAATATAAGACAAATGTATCTGATTACAATAAATGTGGCTCATTTCACAGACTTAGATAAGGTTCCTAAAGGGGCCTATCCATGCCCTAACCAAACGTAGATGTCTACCTGCCCCGGTAGACGTGCTGGGAAGGAGCAGCAAAGAGCTTGTTCTGCAGACCACAGGGAGTTCAGTGAGGATGCTCACACCCCACCTGAGGCAGAGAGACAGAGAAGAGGCGTCTAGTGTCTATCTCATCGATGGCGTGAAGCCTCCGAAAACTTAGGCTTCTGTTTGCATCTACATGTGCACGTCTGGAGTCCTAAGACATCCGAGCACCTGCAGGACAGGGATCATTTCTTACATCTTTGGTTACCTGGCACCTGGCACAAAGGGGCTCCTGGTCTATGTATCTGCACAACCTTCGTAGATTGCTCAGACTCTATTTCACCCACTTTCTTTACACCCCATTGTCACTTGGCTCGATGGGGGACACATGATCAATATTTAATATGGGTTAAATGAATGACACAGGTTGTTTAATCTGAAAAGGATTAACCCCAGCAGACTGTCAGCCCTTCTCTGTGTACTGCCTAATTTTAGAGTACTGAGAAGTGGATATTAACACGAGGTCTTGCAGGCTTATGCCTGTGAGGCTGTGGCTTGCGTGGAGAGAGCTGTTTTTATTTTATCTTGTAGATTGCAGCGTCTGTAAAGATGAAGTTACAGGCTGCATTTCATGCACTAGCTCATCCATTCATTCATTGTCTCACTGAATGCTTGTTAGGTTCCAGAATAGCTTAGCGGCTGCCAATGACACATGTACATAAATTACAGTAATAGAAGTAGCCACAAAGCAATACTTTGCTTAAGAACGTTACACATAAAGTCGACTCTCCATATCCATGGGGTTCCACGTCCACGAATTCAACTAACTGCAGATTGAAAATATCTGGGGGAAAAATCACAACAATTTAATAAATTACAAATGTTTTACTCAAGTGCTAGAAACATCAATGTAAGACGCTGTATTAATATCCCAGCCACTGCTCGATTGGAAACCATTATCCTTTTGTCATACTTAGTTGAAATCAAGTTCACAGTGAAACATTGTTAAAATACAAGGCCCTAAAAGAAAGATGCCATTTCCTTCTAGCTATGGGAAGTGACCAAAACTTGTAAATGTATACGTCTCATTTTGTAAATCTGCAAACTCAAGCACAGACTTATGGTTGATGCAAACACAGAGGAATCACACCACTTAATGTCCTGATCAAAAGAACGTCCTTTTCTGAACATTATTGACTTCTACTCTACATCAAAACCCCTCAAAAAGATCCTTACTCTTTGAACTCACTGATTCCACTGTATTCCCAAATTGAATCTGTTTTGCTAATGAGATCTGCAGGCTAATTTGATGCAATGGTTAGGATTAAACAGGTTGTCCATTTTAATGATAGGAATGTTACGTTTCTGTGTAGTCCGCATTTAAGAAATAAAGATTTAATATTATGTAAGAAGGGTAGTGAAAATGCTAACTGTTTATCTCATTTTTTT